CACGTGGGGAGATGAGTAGACACGTGGGGACACGTGGGGACACGTGGGGACACGTGGGGACACGTGGGGACACGTGGGGGGACACGTGGGGGGACACGTGGGGGGACACGTGGGGGGACACGTGGGGGGACACGTGGGGGGACACGTGGGGGGACACGTGGGGACACGTGGGGGACACGTGGGGGGACACGTGGGGGGACACGTGGGGGACACGTGGGGACACGTGGGGGACACGTGGGGGACACGTGGGGGACACGTGGGGGACACGTGGGGGACACGCCGAGAGGTGGGAGGACGCTTTCGCGTGAAGGGGAAGTGAGCGAGCGGATGGGAGAGCGAGGTGGGGTGTGGGGGTGACGCAGGAGAGGAAGCCGGACCTCTGATGGTGGGGGGAGGTTTGGAGGTGAGGGGGGGGGTCTTGACCCCCCAGTCTCCCCCCCCCCCACTTCCTGTACCCCATCACGTGGGATCAAGGGCAGTGCCCCCACCACGCGTCCCAGCGCTGCTTAATGGCCGCAGGATGAAAGGGGAGATCCGTAGGGGTCTCTCCTTGGGTCGACAGTGCCACTGTGTAGCCTCTATCACTCCGTGTCTGTGTGTGTGTGCAGGTGTGTGTGTGCAGGTGTGTGTGTGCAGGTGTGTGTGCAGGTGTGTGTGTGCAGGTGTGTGTGTGCAGGTGTGTGTGTGCAGGTGTGTGTGTGTGGCCGTGCAGGTGTGTGTGTGTGTGCAGGTGTGTGTGTGTGTGCAGGTGTGTGTGTGTGTGTGCAGGTGTGTGTGTGTGCAGGTGTGTGTGTGTGCAGGTGTGTGTGTGCAGGTGTGTGTGTGTGTGGCCGTGCAGGTGTGTGTGTGTGTGTGGCCGTGCAGGTGTGTGTGTGTGGCCGTGCAGGTGTGTGTGTGTGGCCGTGCAGGTGTGTGTGTGTGTGTGGCCGTGCAGGTGTGTGTGTGTGGCCGTGCAGGTGTGTGTGTGTGTGGCTGTGCAGGTGTGTGTGTGGCCGTGCAGGTGTGTGTGTGGCCGTGCAGGTGTGTGTGTGGCCGGGCAGGTGTGTGCGTGTGTGCAGGTGTGTGTGAGTGTGCGGCCGTGCAGGTGTGTGTGTGTGTGGCCGTGCAGGTGTGTGTGTGGCCGTGCAGGTGTGTGTGTGTGTGTGGCCGTGCAGGTGTGTGTGTGTGGCCGTGCAGGTGTGTGTGTGTGTGGCCGTGCAGGTGTGTGTGTGTGGCCGTGCAGGTGTGTGTGTGTGGCCGTGCAGGTGTGTGTGTGTGGCCGTGCAGGTGTGTGTGTGTGTGGCCGTGCAGGTGTGTGTGTGGCCGTGCAGGTGTGTGTGTGGCCGGGCAGGTGTGTGCGTGTGTGCAGGTGTGTGTGTGTGTGGCCGTGCAGGTGTGTGTGTGTGGCCGTGCAGGTGTGTGTGTGTGTGGCCGTGCAGGTGTGTGTGTGTGGCCGTGCAGGTGTGTGTGTGTGTGGCCGTGCAGGTGTGTGTGTGTGGCCGTGCAGGTGTGTGTGTGTGTGGCTGTGCAGGTGTGTGTGTGGCCGTGCAGGTGTGTGTGTGGCCGTGCAGGTGTGTGTGTGGCCGGGCAGGTGTGTGCGTGTGTGCAGGTGTGTGTGCGTGTGCGGCCGTGCAGGTGTGTGTGTGTGTGGCCGTGCAGGTGTGTGTGTGGCCGTGCAGGTGTGTGTGTGTGTGTGGCCGTGCAGGTGTGTGTGTGTGGCCGTGCAGGTGTGTGTGTGTGTGGCCGTGCTGGTGTGTGTGTGTGGCCGTGCCGGTGTGTGTGTGTGGCCGTGCAGGTGTGTGTGTGTGGCCGTGCCGGTGTGTGTGTGTGTGGCCGTGCAGGTGTGTGTGTGGCCGTGCAGGTGTGTGTGTGGCCGTGCAGGTGTGTGTGTGGCCGGGCAGGTGTGTGCGTGTGTGCAGGTGTGTGTGTGTGTGGCCGTGCAGGTGTGTGTGTGTGGCCGTGCAGGTGTGTGTGTGTGTGGCCGTGCAGGTGTGTGTGTGTGGCCGTGCAGGTGTGTGTGTGTGTGGCCGTGCAGGTGTGTGTGTGTGGCCGTGCAGGTGTGTGTGTGTGTGGCCGTGCAGGTGTGTGTGTGGCCGTGCAGGTGTGTGTGTGGCCGGGCAGGTGTGTGCGTGTGTGCAGGTGTGTGTGTGTGTGGCCGTGCAGGTGTGTGTGTGTGTGGCCGTGCAGGTGTGTGTGTGTGTGTGGCCGTGCAGGTGTGTGTGTGTGTGTGGCCGTGCAGGTGTGTGTGTGTGTGTGGCCGTGCAGGTGTGTGTGTGTGTGTGGCCGTGCAGGTGTGTGTGTGTGTGGCCGTGCAGGTGTGTGTGTGTGTGGCCGTGCAGGTGTGTGTGTGGCCGGGCAGGTGTGTGAGTGTGTGCAGGTGTGTGTGTGTGTGGCCGTGCAGGTGTGTGTGTGTGGCCGTGCAGGTGTGTGTGTGTGTGGCCGTGCAGGTGTGTGTGTGTGGCCGTGCAGGTGTGTGTGTGTGTGGCCGTGCAGGTGTGTGTGTGTGGCCGTGCAGGTGTGTGTGTGTGTGGCCGTGCAGGTGTGTGTGTGGCCGGGCAGGTGTGTGCGTGTGTGCAGGTGTGTGTGTGTGTGGCCGTGCAGGTGTGTGTGTGTGTGTGGCCGTGCAGGTGTGTGTGTGTGTGTGGCCGTGCAGGTGTGTGTGTGTGTGTGGCCGTGCAGGTGTGTGTGTGTGTGTGGCCGTGCAGGTGTGTGTGTGTGTGTGGCCGTGCAGGTGTGTGTGTGTGTGGCCGTGCAGGTGTGTGTGTGTGTGGCCGTGCAGGTGTGTGTGTGGCCGTGCAGGTGTGTGTGTGGCCGTGCAGGTGTGTGTGTGGCCGTGCAGGTGTGTGTGTGGCCGTGCAGGTGTGTGTGTGGCCGTGCAGGTGTGTGTGTGTGGCTGTGTGTGTGCGTGTGCAGCCGTGAAGGTGTGTGGATGTGGGAGCGGCAGTGCAGTGGTGTAGCACTTCGCTGCGCTACGAACCCGGCGACCCGAGTTTGATTCCCGCTCACGGCCAACACCACCGGTGACGATTATCTGAACCGGTCCTGGGCCTCCCCTAGGTCGACTCAGCCTCAAATGAGTACCTGGTGTAGCGGTGTGTAGTGAACTTCGCCACTGGGGAGACAAAGGCGGCCGGGCGTGGTGCTGGCCACCCACCCCCTCGTGTGCCACAGTGCCGGTAGCCTTCATAGGTGCTGCTCGCTACTCACAGCACTTGCCCCTACAGTCTGTTAAGGCCACACGGGGGACCTTTGTCTGTGTGTGTGGCCGTGCAGGTCTAGTTGGGGGGGAGGGGCTAGTTGGAGGGGAGGGGCTAGTTGGAGGGGCTAGTTGGAGGGGCTAGTTGGGGGGAGGGGCTAGTTGGAGGGGCTAGTTGGGGGGAGGGGCTAGTTGGAGGGGCTAGTTGGGGGGAGGGGCTAGTTGGGGGGGAGGGGCTAGTTGGGGGGAGGGGCTAGTTGGAGGGGCTAGTTGGGGGGAGGGGCTAGTTGGGGTCACCGTGGGCTCTGGTGGGTTACTGGGTGAGGCTCCGTGCTGCAAGCCCCGGGGTGGATCACCGATGAGGCGCCGGCACACGGAGTTCTCACGGGCGCGTCACTAGCACAGCGTCACACTGAGCGTCACACTGAGCGTCACACATAGTCTCATACACACTGAGCGTCACACACAGTGTCACACACACTGAGCGTCACACACACTGAGCGTCACACACACTGAGTGTCACACACACTGAGTGTCACACACACCGATCGTCACACACACTGAGCGTCACACACACTGAGTGTCACACACACCGAGCGTCACACACACTGAGCGTCACACACACTGAGTGTCACACACACTGAGCGTCACACACAGTGTCACACACACTGAGTGTCACACACACTGAGCGTCACACACACTGAGTGTCACACACACTGAGCGTCACACACAGTGTCACACACACTGAGTGTCACACACCCTGAGCCTCACACACAGTGTCACACACTTGAGTGTTACCCTGAGTGACACTCAGGGTGTCACACACCCTGAGCGTCACAGAGGGTGTCACACCCTGAGTGTCACACACTTGAGTGTTACCCTGAGCGTCACACAGGGTGTCACACACTTGAGTGTCACACGCGGAATCACAATATTTTACTGAAGGAATCTGACGAGCTGTGAAGCTCTTTCTCACAGCGTGGCACAAAGAGCGTTGCACATTGTTGTGCACTGTCCTGTTCCGCTGGTTCCACTCTGACAGTTCCGTTCTGCTGGACCTATTCTGTTCCGTCGGTTCCGTTCCTTGCAGCCAGTTCCATTAAATTTTGCCAGTTCCGGTGTCCCTTCTACCGGTTCCGTTCCGTTCCACTTGTTCCGTTCCGTTCTCACCGGTTCCGTTCTGTTCTGACCGGTTCCGTTCTGTTCCACCGGTTCCGTTCTGTTCCACCGGTTCCGTTGTTCCATCGGTTCCGTTCTGTTCCAATGGTTCTGTTCCGTTCCGCCGGTTCTGTTCCGTTACGCCGGTTCTGTTCCGTTCTGCCGGTTCTGTTCCGTTCTGCCGGTTCTGTTCCGTTCTGCCGGTTCTGTTCCGTTCCAATGGTTCTGTTCCGTTCCGCCGGTTGTGCTCCAATGGTTCTGTTCCGTTCCGCCGGTTCTGTTCCGTTCCGCCGGTTCTGTTCCGTTCCGCCGGTTCTGTTCCGTTCCGCCGGTTGTGTTCCAATGGTTCTGTTCCGTTCCGCCGGTTGTGCTCCAATGGTTCTGTTCCGTTCCGCCGGTTCTGTTCCAATGTTTCTGTTCCGTTCCGCCGGTTCCGTCCCATTCCGCCAGTTCTGTTCCGTTCCGCCGGTTCTGTTCCAATGGTTCTGTTCCGTTCCGCCGGTTCTGTTCCGTTCCGCCGCCGCGTCGGTTCCGTGTTGCAAGACATCGGCGCCATCTCCCACCCCTGGCCGGCAAGCGCGGCTTTGCCGGCCTTTAACCAGCGCCCGCTGACTCTGCCGCCCGTCCCCTCCGTGTCCCCTCCGTGTCCCCTCCGTGTCCCCGCCAGGGCCACCAAGGCCTTCCAGGAGGTGCTCTACATCGAGCCGGGTTTCCGGCGCGCCAATGAGGTCCACCTGCGGCTCGCATTGATGTTCAAGCTCAACACGGACTACGAGACCAGCCTCAAGGTGAGCTCGCTCGCACGCACGCGCCGGCGTGTGCTGTGAATACATTGTATACATTGCACACTGCACAGCACACCGCACGCACATTGCACACACACCGCACACTGCACACACCACACTGCACACACCACACACACTGCACACACACCACACACTGCACACACCACACACACAGCACACACCGCACACAGCACACACCACACACCACACACAATGCACACACACTGCACACACAGCACACACAGCGCACACACCACACACACCGCACACAATGCACACACACTGCACACACACACACTGCACACACAGCACACACACACACACCACACACACACCACACACACCACACACACACCACACACACACCACACACACACCACACACCGCACACACACCGCACACCGCACACACACCGCACATACCACACACACCACACACTGCACACACACACAGCACACTGCACACACACACAGCGCACACACCACACAGCGCACACACCACACACACCGCACACACCACACACACCGCACACACACACAGCACACTGCACACACACACTGCATACACACTGCACACACACGCACACACACCACACACCACACACACCACACACAATGTACACACAATGCACACACACACTGCACACACCACACAATGCACACACCACACACAATGCACACACCACACTCACAATGCACACACCACACACAATGCACACACCACACACAATGCACACACACCACACAATGCACACACCACACACAATGCACACACACCACACACAATGCACACACCACACACACCGCACACAGCACACACCACACACACACACCACACACACACACCACACACAATGCACACACAATGCACACTCACACTGCACACACCACACACACACACCACACACCACACACACACACCACACACAATGCACACACAATGCACACTCACACTGCACACACCACACACTCACACTGCACACACCACACACACACACACACCACACACCACACACACACACACCACACACCACACACACCACACACACCACACACAATGCACTCACACTGCACACACCACACACAATGCACACACCATACACACCGCACACAGCACACACCACACACACACCACACACACACACACCACACACAATGCACACACAATGCACACTCACACTGCACACACACACACCACACACACCACACACACCACACACAATGCACTCACACTGCACACACCACACACACACACTGCACACACCACACACTGCACACACCACACACAATGCACTCCCCGCGTGCGACGCACACCCCACCCACGACGTCGGTGGTGCTGCCGCGTTGTTGTTGTTGTTGCTGCGCTGTCCTCCCCCAGGGAGTAGCTGGCTGTGAGGTTCAGTGGCCTTGGCTAGGCAGCCATCTGTCTCCCCTCCCTCCCCTCTGTGGAGCAGGAGACGCGTGTGTGTGTGTGTAGCAGGAGACCTGTGTGTGTGTAGCAGGAGATGTGTGTGTGTAGCAGGAGACGTGTGTGTGTGTGTGTAGCAGGAGACCTGTGTGTGTGTGTAGCAGGAGACCCGTGTGTGTGTGTGTAGCAGGAGACCTGTGTGTGTGAGTAGCAGGAGACGTGTGTGTGTGTGTAGCAGGAGACGTGTGTGTGTGTGTGTAGCAGGAGACGTGTGTGTGTGTGTGTGTAGCAGGAGACGTGTGTGTGTGTGTAGCAGGAGACGTGTGTGTGTGTGTGTGTAGCAGGAGACGTGTGTGTGTGTGTGTAGCAGGAGACGCGTGTGTGTGTGTAGCAGGAGACCTGTGTGTGTGTGTGTAGCAGGAGACCTGTGTGTGTGTGTAGCAGGAGACTTGTGTGTGTGTGTGTAGCAGGAGACCTGTGTGTGTGTGTGTGTAGCAGGAGACGTGTGTGTGTGTGTGTAGCAGGAGACCTGTGTGTGTGTAGCAGGCCAGCTGCCCCTGTTGCCGGGCAGAACGCGTGCCTTCGTGACGGACGGGCCTCTCCACCTCCCGATTGGCTGCCGAGCACCCAATAGCACGGCTCCCCTTTGCAGCTTTGCTTTGCCTTTTTTATTTCTTCTCTTCCCCCTCTCTCTACCCTGCAGTTATCTGTGTGTATGTGTGTGTAATTGTTTGTGTGTGTGTGTGATTGTGTGTGTAATTGTTTGTGTGTGTGTGATTGTGTGTGTGTAATTGTGTGTTTGTGTATGTAATTGTGTGTGTTTGTGTATGCAATTGTGTGTGTTTGTGTGTGCAATTGTGTATCTGTGTGTATGTGTGTTTGTGTGTGTATTTGTGTGTGTAATTGTGTGCAATGTGTGTGTGTGTGATTGTGTGTTTGTGTGTGTGTGTATGTGTGCAATGTGTGTGTATGTGTGTAATTGTGTGTATGTGTGCAATGTGTGTGTATGTGTGCAATGTGTGTAATTGTGTGTATGTGTGTGTAATTGTGTGTATGTGTGCATTGTGTGTTTGTGTGTATTGTGTGTTTGTGTGTATGTGTGCAATGTGTGTAATTGTGTGTGTGTATTGTGTGTTTGTGTGTATGTGTGCAATGTGTGTAATTGTGTGTGTGTGTGTGCAATGTGTGTAATTGTGTGTGTGTGTGTGTGCAATGTGTGTAATTGTGTGTGTGTGTGTGTGCAATGTGTGTAATTGTGTGTGTGTGTGTGTGCTGGGGAGCGGTGGTGCAACTCGCTCTTCCGACGAACCCGGCGATCCCAGGTTTAGATCCCCGCTCACAGCCAACACCGCTGACGATTATCTCAACCTGGCCCTGGGCCGGTGCGGCGGTGTGTGCAGTCGTAAACATCGCCACCTGGGGGAGACAAAGGCGGCCGGGCGTGGTTGCTGGCCACCCCCACCCACTCGTGTGCCACAGTGCCGGCCTGCATGGGTGCTGCTCACAGCACTTGCCCCTACAGCCTGTTAGAGGCTACACGGGGGACCTTTGTCTGTGTGTCTATAGCTGCTGCTCGCTACTAACAGCACTTGCCCCTACAGTCTGTTAAGAGGCTACACGGGGGACCTTTGTCTTTGCTGGGCTGTGCAAGTGGTGTATGTGTGTGTGTGTGTATATACAGTTTGTCCGCACGTGGCAGTATGAGCAAGCGTGTGGGGTGTGTTGTAGGGTACGTCTGTGTGTTGCGGGGTGTGTCTGGGTGTTGCAGGGTACGTCTGTGTGTTGCAGGGTGAGTCTGTGTGTTGTAGGGTACGTCTGTGTGTTGTAGGGTACGTCTGTGTTGTAGGGTAAGTCTGTGTGTTGCAGGGTAAGTCTGTGTGTTGTAGGGTGCGTCTGTGTTGTAGGGTAAGTCTGTGTGTTGTAGGGTGAGTCTGTGTGTTGCGAGGTGAGTCTGTGTGTTGTAGGGTGTGTCTGTGTGTTGCAGGGTGAGTCTGTGTGTTGTGGGGTGAGTCTGTGTGTTGCAGGGTGAGTCTGTGTTGCAGGGTGAGTCTGTGTTGTAGGGTAAGTCTGTGTGTTGTAGGGTGCGTCTGTGTTGTAGGGTAAGTCTGTGTGTTGTAGGGTGAGTCTGTGTGTTGCAGGGTGAGTCTGCGTGTTGTAGGTTGCGTCTGTGTGTTGTAGGGTGAGTCTGTGTGTTGTAGGGTACGTCTGTGTGTTGTAGGGTGCGTCTGTGTGTTGTGAGTTGCGTCTGTGTGTTGTGGGGTGAGTCTTTGTGTTGTAGGGTGCGTCTGTGTTGTAGGGTGAGTCTGTGTGTTGCGAGGTGAGTCTGTGTGTTGTGGGGTGAGTCTGTGTGTTGTAGGGTGCGTCTGTGTGTTGCGGTGTGAGTCTGTGTGTTGCGGGGTGAGTCTGTGTGTTGTAGGGTGAGTCTGTGTTGTAGGGTGAGTCTGTGTGTTGCGAGGTGAGTCTGTGTGTTGCGGTGTGAGTCTGTGTGTTGCGGGGTGAGTCTGTGTGTTATAGGGTGAGTCTGTGTGTTGTAGGGTGAGTCTGTGTGTTGTAGGGTGAGTCTGTGTGTTGCGAGGTGAGTCTGTGTGTTGTAGGGTGAGTCTGTGTGTTGTAGGGTGAGTCTGTGTGTTGTAGGGTGAGTCTGTGTGTTGCGAGGTGAGTCTGTGTGTTGTAGGGTGAGTCTGTGTGTTGTAGGGTGAGTCTGTGTGTTGCGAGGTGAGTCTGTGTGTTGCGGGGTGAGTCTGTGTGTTGTAGGGTGAGTCTGTGTGTTGTAGGGTGAGTCTGTGTGTTGCGAGGTGAGTCTGTGTGTTGTAGGGTGAGTCTGTGTGTTGTAGGGTGAGTCTGTGTGTTGCGAGGTGAGTCTGTGTGTTGCGGGGTGAGTCTGTGTGTTGTAGGGTGCGTCTGTGTGTTGTAGGGTGAGTCTGTGTGTTGCGAGGTGAGTCTGTGTGTTGCGAGGTGAGTCTGTGTGTTGTAGGGTGCGTCTGTGTGTTGTAGGGTGAGTCTGTGTGTTGCGAGGTGAGTCTGTGTGTTGCGAGGTGAGTCTGTGTGTTGTAGGGTGCGTCTGTGTGTTGTAGGGTGCGTCTGTGTGTTGTGGGGTGAGTCTGTGTGTTGTGAGTTGCGTCTGTGTTGTGGGGTGAGTCTGTCTGTTGTGGGGTGAGTCTGTGTGTTTTGGGGTGCGTCTGTGTGTTGTGGGGTGAGTCTGTGTGTTGTGGGGTGAGTCTGTGTGTTGCAGGGTGAGTCTGTGTGTTGTGGGGTGAGTCTGTGTGTTGCGGGGTGAGTCTGTGTGTTGCAGGGTGAGTCTGTGTGTTGCGGGGTGAGTCTGTGTGTTGCGAGGTGAGTCTGTGTGTTGCGAGGTGAGTCTGTGTGTTGTGAGTTGCGTCTGTGTCATCTCGGTCAGTCAAGCCCACGGCACCTGGGTCTGTCCCGTTACCTCCTGCCAGTGGGCATTCGACGCTTGACGTAGCCTCAAAAAGGGGGGGGGGGGGTGGGGGGCCTGGCCTGGCACAAGCGCCGTGGGGACGTCACCGCCACTTAGAAGCGGTGACGTAGTTGACGTCGGGGTGTGTCTGTGCGCTGGGGTGCAATCCGCACAATCA